GATACAGGCAACAGAAGATACTCTTTATCATGCCTGTTAAGCAGCAATGTGTTAACTGCAAAGTACTGTACTGGTGTTTACTAATTAATTTGTACAATAACCCAGTTAGAATACGTCATCTTCATTTTAGAGACGTGCAAACAAATGAGAAATTAAATGGTTTTGGTCGAAGTTGCCCTGCATGTCAGGGGCATAGTTGTTAATGAAATATTTTTTTTGTATGTGTATATTCTTCCAGTCTATATTGCTCCCAGGACTGAGCCTAGGTAGAGAACTGTAGGCAGTTTGCTTACAAAAATGTAACTGAATGTTGAGATTCAGCAGGGACAACATCTCCAGAGAACAAACCTCATGGGAATACTGTGAGGTGTTGCTGAATGCCAAACTAAATGGGCCGTCCCTGCTGCGCTGTGAAATACGCCTTGATTTTGCTTATGCTTAAGTATTTTTTGTGAGTAGTGTTACTTGATCAAAATTGGGGTCATAGGCAACTCATAGCAGCGGATCTTGTGGCTGGTGCTTATGTCCTTATAACTAATGATTCCTGTGGATCAGTGCAAAAATTGCTTCTCAAAAAAACAAAAGAAAAACAAACAAAAAAACAATCCAACAAAACAAAAACCCAAAAACTCAGGAAAGCAAGAATCTGCCTCTAATGTAGTTACAGCCTTCCTCCCTTTCCATTTTCTCCACATCATAAGCTTTTCTCAGCCTGACGGCGTTTGAGAGCTTGACTTGTGTCAGTGACAAGGAAGACCAGGGCTCAGTTTTGATGGATGTTGTCATGCTGAGCTTGTTAGCAATTCCTTGGCTTGGACTGGTGTGAGAAGCTGACATATTTAAATGAGTTTGTGTGAGTTTTTTTAAACTCCAGTACAACTCTCCTTTTGGTTACTTTTGTAAAAGCTTCTATGTGAGGATAACATCAAAAAGGAACCAAAAAAGCAGCTGTGGATGAAACCAGTGCAGAAGCAGAACTGGAGAAGTGTCTGTGAGTAGGCAGGGGAAGTGGCTGCACCACAATAACACCTTATCCAGTCTGCAGGGAATGGAAGCTCATCAGCTAATCTTCTGTTGTAACAAACTCCATCATGAGAACATTTCTAGGAAAAATGGAAGGGATGAAAGAACAGTTGTAGATACAAGCATTCTTAGATCAAAGGCAAGGACTGCTTGATTCCTTCTGTTCCTGTAGAGATGCAGGCTGTGGGCAAGCTAGTTATTTAGAAACAGTCTCCTGTAGGTATTCAGGTTACCATAAATCTTTTTTTCTTTGGATTTTATTTTTGCTGGTATACAAAGAAAGATGAAAACAAGTGCGTTTGTGGAGAGCATCGTTGAGCAACGAGGAAACTCACTCCCATGTTGCAGTAAGGAAGTTCTGCTCTTCCATGGACCAGCTCACTCTGTAACTGTTGTGCAGTGTTATGGAATCTTGAAGCCATTTGAGAGCAGCTGTAGAGTTGTGTTTGTGTCCAGAAAAGAGCAAGGCCACCAATGGAAAGGTCTTCAAAATTGTCAATATTTGTACCTAATACAGGAGCTGGATGCCCAAGTGTTAAAAGCATTGAATTCTCAGATGTGCTGCCCTAATTGCTGTGGTATGTCTTGTCTGATTCAGTTCCTCTGGAATGGCAAGTGGAGGTGAGAAAGAGATGGAGAGTAGATGTGGGAGGGCAGCCCACAGCGCTTCCTTTGCTCTTGTGGATCTGAACTCTTCCCTGAGGCTGAGGTACTGGTTAAAGTGTGAAACCAAACAGGCAATGGAGTTTTTGGCATCTTGCAGTGATTGGGGGAAAATGTGAGTCAAATGTTTATGTTCAGGATAAAATACTTTTCAGACTTGATTTATCTCAGAGGCAAAAACAAACAAACAAAAAAAAGACAACACAAATTTGTTACCCTCTTGGCGTTGCTTCTAATCCAGAGACACTTCCAGTCTTCATCTTTCAGGACCTGGTGTCTCTGAAAGCTTAGAAGCACTGACCTCAAGAGAAGAGGTAATCTCTCTCCTGTACTTTTTTTTTCCACGCCCCAGAAGCTCATCACTAAGAGCCAGGGATAACTTCATTTCTTTTTGTTGGTTACAAAACGCCACGCTATAAAGCTGTGTTGAGTAGTAGCTTGTGATCTCAGAAAAGCTTACAGTTTAACAGCAAGCATTCATAAATCAAACCAAACTTTATGTGTCGGGAAGTAGTAGTCAAGATTCTATTATTGGAGCAGAAAAGCATGTTGGAAAGAAACCTTCTTGGGTAAGTGGGAGGAGGAGAGATGGAAAAAAAAATCTGAAATCTTTCTTAGCTCAAATAAGGAAAGAAAAAAGGAAGAAGGATTTGAGTTCTGTGTAGTTTGTGCTGAGTTTCTGTCACTTGTTTCATCAGGAAATGGAGTGTACGTGCACTTTTTTGGTTTGCAATGCATAGTAGCACAGCCATTCTTTACCATCTGTAACACAGTGGTGATTTCTTATAAAGCTCAGCATTCACTCTGTTGCTTTTTGATGGTGTGAAGAGCTTAGTGGAACTGCCTTGGGGATGTCTTCCTCTGCCAGTGACAGAAATCCTAGCACTGCTGCGTGACTTATCATCATGTAATACTTTTTCATATAAAATTTGGGATTTAAAATCCTGAACTCAGAATTGATCAAAAATTACAAGAACAAGGACAACCTGTGACTAGGGCACACTTTTTAAGGCAACTTAGTTCTCACCCACTTGCTTTCTTGTAGTGATTTATGTGTTCTTCAGATGCTGTGTATTGAAGCAAGATCATGAAGTCTCAGTGTGCTTGAAAGGCCCATCACTAAAGGTGCACCATTAAGGAAGAGGATGATTTTATCTTGTGTCTCTCCCCAGGTGTCCTGGATAATGATGTTACTGTATATCCCTTAAAAGTGTTATTAGATGTGATGAGAATTGATGTTCTTTTGTCCCCCCCCTTCAAACAGTTGTACTATGAAGAACGAGGTGAGTTGTACTGTGGAGAAAGTGGAGAGGCTATGCATTCATACTGAAATTTCGTAATGGAAATGGTTTTAAAATCAATTCTTTCCAACTGAGGAAAAAGTATCTTCAGAAACAGCCAGTGAACATATTTGGTGACATGGAAGACCCTAACAGGCAGAGATGAGACCAGGTGCACAAGGAACCATAAAGTTCTGTATATCTGAAGACATATATTTATTAAAGAAGAAAATTAAAACACGTTCTTTGTAGCTAAAGAATCCATTTAAACTGGTTTAAACAATACACTGAAACTTGTCTAATTCTGAATTACTGCTGTTTCTAATAAGAGATCAATGAAAAAAAGCTTGAGAGTCTGTGTAAGGCAAAGCTTTGGGTGAGCAGGCGAGGGACTAATCTTGATGTAGTTGAATGGTATTCAAATAAGATTTAAGAAAGCAAAAAAAAAAAACACCCCCTGTTTTCAAGTTAAATGGACTTTGTATTAAAACCTCAAGAGTCATTCTGTTCATTGTAACACTTGCAGGATAGGAGAGCGTTGCTTTTGTTTACAGTCTTCCTTCTGTAAGAGCAGGACACCAAGGTGTGTATGAGCTATGTGTACAAATGGATTTATTTTTTACATTTATTTATAGCTTTACACATTATTGATCTACAGCCAGAGGCAGAGAAGAGTATTATTTATGAGTTCATAGCTCTGCTTGGCAGCTGAGACTGCTTCCTATGAGAGAATAAATACACACTGCAGCTGCATGTGCAGGGACACAGGCAGCTCAAGCTCCATGAGGCCAGTCTGGTTTTGTTCAAACTTCCCATGTGTGCTGCTGAAGAGCAGGCGAGCAAAGTAACTTCTGCATCTTTAGTTAGCAAAGAACATCAGCTATGTAGCTGATGTCCATTTTCTGCAGTGTACCAGAGTTGGAATAGCTTGTCTTGTAATTGTGCAGACTTTAATTAGCCTTTGAAGTTTTTTGGTTGGCCTAGTGGTGAATGATCCCAGGCAGAGTCAGACTGTCAGTGTGAGTTCTAGGTAAGCTTTAACAAAGTTTAGTCTAATCTGAACAGTGGAAAAAATAGATGAGAAGGAAAAACATATGCTATTGGGGTAAAACAGTGATACGTGTTGGTATTCCTGTCCTTTATGGAAATTTGAGCACTCCTAGAGCTACTTCAGTTCTGTTATGTGTTCAACATCAAACTGTTATGTTCTCAAAATACTTAAATAGCATGGAAGTGCAGAGTGACCATTCTGATGTGGTGTTCAGTGGGGTGCTTGCTGGAGTTATCAAAGCCACTGGGTTCCACCGTGAAGCAACCTAAGGCCTGGAGAGCCCCATGGCAGGGCAGTGTGATGGTCAGAGCTTAGACAGGGTGAAGCACAGGGGTAAGCATTTGCACCTATAGAACAACTTCCAAATCTATGTATAGCTGCAGTGACTCCTGCTAAGGAAAATTAATTTGTATATGAGAGTAATACATAACTTTCTGTCCTGGCTCAAGAGTGAGTGAGCTGGCTGTGTACAAAAAGCTATAGCAAATACTTGGCACAGTGCTAATAAGCTGCCACAGCTACTTGTGAACCTGCTGAGCATTTGTTCACTGAAGACTTTTTACCACCTCCGTAGCACTTCCTCCTTCTTTGGTCTAAAATTAGAGCCCAGATTAGAAAGGAAGCAGGGAGAAACCCCGGCGCTTCACTGATTGTCACCAGAGATGCTTTTTTTTCTTTTTTTTCTTCTTAACTGAGGCAACTAAAACCTGGATTCATATGTTCTTGGCTTCCTCCTGCCTTCTATAAACTATGAGATGTGGTGGAATTACGTCTCCAGCTTTGCAGCACGAAGGATTAACATAAAGTTAAACAGTCCATAAAGCTGTCAGAGTGCAGCACAAGCTCACAGCAGTTTGTGTGATGAGCGAAGGGCTCTCAGGTAGCTAGGAGCAGCTGGACTGAGACAACAACAGCAGAACTGTGTAGAGCTGATTGCTGAGTGGCAAACTCTATGTCGCTGATTAAATGCTTTGTCTTTACAGGCCGGGTTTCCTTTTTCACCTCTGGATCAGAGAATCTGCATCGGGTGGAAAAGGTTCACTGGGGCACTCGCTACGCCATCACCATCTCCTTCACGTGCAACCCAGAACACAGCATTGGGGATCCAGTCTTGATGTAATTCCTCCAGGGGTGGAACATAATGGTCAGATGGAACAAGAGAAGCCCTGCGAGAGAAATGGAGATAACTCTTACAGACTCTCATTCAATTAGAATTTCCCAGATGTATTATGATATTGTAACACGTTTTATTTCCACATGTCCTTTTCAGTACGTGCTGCAAACAGTGCCTTAAGGACCATCTTAGATTTGGTATCTTCTGTAAAAGATTCGCCTTTATGTGTAATCCTATGATTGGCTCTTTATTTTTCTACTTATTTATTTTGATTCTTCAGTGTAAATGTTATGAACTATTGGACTGTATCTTGATATGACACCCCATGCTGCTGTTAAATCCTGCAGCTGCTTCTATTACTGATGGGATTTAGGAAGTCTGACCAAAGTTAATTCATCAAGATGAGTGCTATCCTTTCAGAAATATTTCCTCTTGATAGGAATGTATTGTCCTTAGCACAGGCAGTACACCTGTGGTTTGACTACTGGGCTTTACTTGAACTTTCTTTTAAAATTAAATTTCTACAGACATTTTCTGCTACAGACAAGGACCAGTTAATGTGACGTCAGAAATACGGCCTTTTAGTTTGGAAAGCACATTGCTTTTGAATCACAAATGCAGTGATTTACGAGGGAACGGCACCACAGTGGATTCCTCTGACCAGCATGCAGCATTCCCAATGCACCTCACTATGTCAGTGTCACCTTAATGAAAACAATTAATCTCCTGGTCAGAAAGCACATGCTGGCTTTATGGGAGTGTGACCACTGAACTGCATGCATCAAGTGTTGAAAGGAGAGCTGGGTGGAGGTAGTCAGGCACTCTGTATTCAGCCGAGTGTTCAGCTGTCCAAATTCCCAGCTATGACTGCAAGATTTGAGAGCAGCACAGGTGAGAAGGAAGTTGGCTTTGTGGTGGTTTTGCATGTGCTTGTCTCTATAGACTTGATCCTGTAAACCCTGACTTGCTGCTTGGACAGCTGGGTAATGAAACCGTGCTGAGCAGCTGTGCATGGTATGTGGGCTCTGAGGGAAGTTGGTGTCCACTTACATCTTAAACTGAAATGCTCTTGAGCTGGAGCTCATTTGTACAACAATTTGAAACATCTATTTATTGGGCCTGAATTTAATCTTAAGACCCATTTGAACAGAGCTCTTGACTTCTGTTATTGTTGACACTGCTTACACATCGGGTGTAGTGAGCTGCTGTGTTTACTTTGTCTAAGAACAATGCTTTATCCGTTCCAGAAAGTTTATCAATAGCTTTTTTTGGATTTCTCTATTTTGAATTAGGATGACTATTTCTAATCAGCTAGGATCATTAGTCTGTGATGTTATTAGAATAATGAATTGCCCTCTGCAGGGAGAAAGGGGTGACTGCGCTGCAGCACAAATGAAGAAACAAAGCAGTGACTTGGGAAAGGTTTTTCTGGGCCACCACATTAAGTAAATAGTAGGAAGAAAGTCTTTTTTTCCTCAAATTCTGAAGTAAACTGAGACCTGAGAAGGGCTTCCTAGTCTCCAAGGAGTTGTTTCAGTGGCTGGATGATAGGAAAATAATGCTGTTATTTGGATTCTGTATCTAATTACTTGTCTCCAGTGCTGTTAATTCAAAGCAAATTCATCCCACTGAAGTTGTATGTTTATGTGAAGGCAGACCAAGATCATCAGCAACAGTTCTGCTGGCTTAAAACTTGATTTCTAACACCACCTTGTGATTTAAACGCGGTTTTTACCACTGCTGTCAGAGAAATCTAAATATCAATGGACCTCTGTGGATTTGGATTTGATTCTCAAGGTTGATGAATAAAAACTGAGGGCTCTACCATTTTTTCCACGAGTTTATTACTTTTCTGTCATCCAGGCTTTGAGTTGCACTAAATGGCAGTGGTGCATTCAGAGCTGCCCTCTATAAAACACTGCTTAACAAGAACATGTCAGGCCATGGGGGAAATCTCAGCTCATCTCCTCTCAGGTTTTAATCTTCTGAAAGTCCTGTACGTTGTAATATCTTCCAAACATGGTGTGCTTCTCCCGTAATGCGAACTGACGGACGTTCAGAAATAGAATCCAATTGGTATTTGTGTCTTCTGGGGTTTTTAAGCTTCAGTAACGTGTTCAATGTGATGAGCAAACCTGTCAAATGCAGTTTGTGAGAAATGTGTGCGCTGTACCTGGTAATAGAATTTATGTTTTGAGAGAAGCACAATAATTCAATATGTTGTGTGTTCTAATCAAGATTTTGTATTTGAAGCTTCAGTATCTGGACTACTAAAAGCAATATATCCAGATCTATGAAGAAATTAAGTGGCAAATGAGGGAATAGAGCACAATCTAAAAGATTCTGATTGTATCCTCCAGCAGGGAAATAACAGCAGAAAGGCTGATGTTCCTGAGGCACGTTGGAATCTGCAGAATTCAGCAATCGTTAGAAATAAGCTTGACTTAATTTTAGCCCCCTAATAACTTTTTATTAAGGGTTATCTCTCCCCATTTCTTGACAGATCATTCTGAATCTGAAATACTGTAATTGCTGTTGATGCATCCGTCTGTCCTCTTTCAGGTTCAGCCTGCCTGTCGCTGCTGGGAAACGCAGTGGTCCTTTTCTCAGAATTCAGATTGAGGACAGGATTTGTTCTAGTCAACTAGCATAAATCTGATGCCAAGCTGCTGCAGACAAGTGCTCTTAATTGAACACACGGGAAACCCAAAATCTTGATGTTTCCCAGTGGTGTGAAAACTTCTGTATAGAGCCCTCGTGGTTCAAATAATGTAAAGATGGGTTGGTAGGTGGCCAGTGGGAACTGGCGTGAAGTTCTGATGTACATTTGGGCCTTGTCCCTTAAAGCATAATCATTGAAGGTATTTAGGAATGTCAATTTAAGCATTTTTAGAGAAAGATTTTTTTAAAGAAAGCCTGTTTGGGTGAAATAAAAGCCAGGGTGAAATAGAAAAGGCATCAGGAGATGCCTTCGACTAAGACATTGGGTAACACTTCTGGAGGGCTCATCCAATGATACTTTGGAAATTATTTTTCTATTAAGGCGTTGGAAATTACCAGGATATCCTGTGAAACTAACAGATATGTGATCAGATTTGGTCTCTGACATACACCTAGCTTTCAGTGCTATAGCATACTCTTCATTTTATTTCTTTTAATCCTGTATGACTGGATTGTTGGAGCACTGAGTGGACCTCTTGGGATTTCTGTAAAATGTTTTCGTGTAAAATGTTCAGGTGTGTAACAGTTGAGGAATCATTGTGTCTTCTTTAACACCCTGTAAATGACAAAAGCTGGAAAGGCACTGAGAGTTATCCTGAAGGTGTGTTGTCCACATGAAATGTTACAAGCTCCATTTGAACAAATTTCAAGTTCAGGAAAGCTGGTTGGAATACACTGTTTACAGAAAGACCATGCTGTCAAGAAACCCTGGGTTTCTTTCTTCATTTCCAATAGAAGCAGGAGAGAATGCAACCCCACTCCTCTGCCCCTAAGCAAAGAAAGAAAATCTCAGCTCTTGTCTCTCGTGATGAAGTCTATTGTGAGGAACCCCAACCGATTCAAAGAATAGCAGAGTGATTTCCTTCATGAACCACAGACGGCTCTGGCACACGTGGATCACCAGCCTCACTCAAAAGGCCAACTTTAAGGAAATCCAGGGCAGAGAGCCCTCGTAAAGTGCTGGTAATTCCCTGGTGAGTGGCTGTTGCTCCTTGTAGAAAGAGCACTGAGGAAGTATAGCATTGTTTGCCTTATCTGCACTTTTGTAAACCTGCTTAGAAGGCTGAAAGCTGGTTTTACAGCTTGTTTGCTGAAACATAAAGTCAGCTCTCCTTCAACAACAGCCCATTTATCCCTGAAGTGTCTGTGTAGGCACGTTTATCTTCCATACAAGCACGGGTGACTTGTACCTAAGCTTTGCAGGAGGGAAAACAACTCCTATTTCCACACTGTGCATCTTTCTTTTATTTTGTTCCATCATCTCCTCTCAAATCTCTTATTTCATCTCAATTCTGTCCTAGCAAACTTAAGCTTTTGCCTACTGTGAATGCTAAATAGGGAATGTATGTGTATGCCGTTATTTATTCACTGCCTCGACCATCACAATTTTGGGGCACTTGCAAGTGGCATTTGCCTTGATGTTCAGCAATGTGCAAAGTGCTTGACCTCGCAGTATCACTGCAAATAGTGGCCTGGAAACACACACTACAGAATCATAGAACTGCTCAGGTTGGAAAAGACCTTAACGATCATCAAGTCCAATCACAACCTAACCATGCTACCCTAACTAACAACTCTCCACTAAATCACGTCCCTGAGCACCACATCCAAATGATTTTTAAACAAGTTCAGGGATGGTGACTCAACCACCTGCCTGGGCAGCCTATTTCAGTGCTTAACAACCCTTTCAGTGTCTGATATCCAACCTAAACCTCCCTTGGTGCAACTTAAGCTCATTTCTCCTTGTCCTGTCGCCAGTGAGAAGTACCACTAGTGCCTTGTTAGAGCTTGGTGCCAGCAGTTCCTGTCTCATCAGCTCTGTGATGCACACGCAGGGCTGTTTAATTTCAAAGAGATTAGGGATGTCTTAGAGCAAGGAATGCTCACAGTGCATCCTAGCCTGTGAAAAAGCCCAATATTGCTAACTGTAGCTCTACAGTGTTCGCACATTTAAAATAGCAATGCTTCAGGAACCCAATGTTTCAGTGGACAGACCCCCACACGTGGCTTATTTTTCTCAGCCATACTCAAACTGTCTTTTTCCTGCATCCTTTTTAACCCATCCTGTGTATTCAATCTGAAGAAGAATTTTTGAATGTGGTAAAACTGTCAAGTGTTCAACTTGCTTTATTTTTTTCATTCTTTAACTTAATACTCTCTTATTTTTCTTCTGTCCCTGCTTAAAAGGATGCTTGTTATTTTGGAGAGGTGTTTGTTTCCATCTCCCATTATCTTACACTGCTGAAAGAATGGCAAGGTAGGGATCCATGTTGTTGGCTGTTGAATGTGCTAGTTTTTTGAGGAAAACCTGTGGATAGAAAGTACTGGATTCTGAAATAGACACCAAAAAAACTCTTTTTTGCTGTTGATCATCAGTGGCTGTTTTGTATTACAGGATGGATCTTGTTCGGGGATCCCTGCTGGCAGGGATGCTCCTACGTGTGCAGACCAGGCTGCAGGATCACTAGAAATGCTTGGATGCTAACTGCAAAATCATAAAAGCAGCCAGGAAGCACCAGCTCCTTCATTTCTCTAACTTTCACATGCACCCAAGCAAAGCAAACCCCTCAAAACATCTGGCTTTACTGCTGGATAATTCTGAGGCTTTCCAGGCAACCTGGACTGGTGGAATTTCTGAGCTGTTGGGCTGCAGAACTGGTGGTGCCTGAAATCACAGCATCTTAGAGAAGGAAAAAATCCCAGTGCTTTCCTTTGAGACTGCTTTTCACTGCCAGGATAAAGTCTCTGGGTAGATTTGCACTTCGTCACTGACCTCCTGATGCATTACTTTGGCAGCCAGAGCATTAAATCTGGGAGGGACATAAAAAGCGGTGGGTCCTCATGGAGTTATTTTGCATCATTTGGCTCTGGATGGTGGTTTCTTCTATCCCCACCAGCAGGCAAACATTTTTATTTCTGGTATATGTCATTACTGAAGAGGAGGAGATGTGTTCTGGGAATCCTCTTTGCATCTAGGGCTTTAAATGTGACTCACTGAACACCCACATACAAAGAGAAGGCCACATTCCAGCAGATGATTCCAAACTTTGACAGGTGCTGCGAAACCAGGCAAGTCTTACACCATTCAGTCCTTCTCGACAGAAAATGAATGAGAAAATGATCTTGCATTTTTTCTGTTTCACAATTGCAGTTGCAAACCATAAATGCATTTTGTCATTGTTTTGGAGGGAGATAAAAAATAATTAGGGAGGAATTCCTTTCCACAGAGAGGAACAGGATCAACGTAAACTTTGCCTGTTGTTCACTAAGGTGAGAAATAAATTCTATGATTCTAAATACAGCAAGCCAAGCAGAGGGAGAAGTTAAATAGAGGGTTAAATAGAGGCCAACGCACTGCAAAGCCTATCACTTCCAGCAGAAGTTAAACACGTTTTCACACTGCAGCTCAGGTTTATATTTAGGCTTTCGGGCAGGCCGTTAAAATTTGTCCTCTTCCTGATCATTCTCCTTAAACAAAATACTTTGGCCATGAAGCATGTACAGAAGGGCAGTAATCAAAACCTTTCCCTAGCTGAATCCTGCAGGGACATAGCTTAGATCTGAGCATCTCAGAAGTAATTTTTCTGCCTTCTGGTGATGGGGAGGATGGCAGAAGTGAAGGTGCTGACAGCAGCTGTGTTGCACGCTGATTCCCCTGGAGTGGGAAACATAATGGTAACGGGGACTGTATATTTATAAACAAGGGCTTGTACATTAATGCTAAAAACGTGGCAAAGGTTATAGGCAGCAGAACTATCTCTAATTAAATCATTTCACGGAGCTGGAAAAACAGAAGAGCTTTGAGCCTTAAAGCTTTGGTATTAATGAGATTGAGTGAGTGAGTAAACAGATCAATTAACTTAATAGAAAAAGTAAATGGCATCGTCTGCCTCTCCCCTGCCCAGCAGCTGTTATTGAACCTGAGTTTTCTTCCAGCTAGAGATGAACATGCGGGACGGACGGACAGCAGGCTGCTCCCTGGGACATCCACACAGAGAGGACAAAAGTGGGAACAGAAAATTATTTGCTTGGTCTGCTGCCATTTCATGTTAGACTGAAATTGATCCTCTGGATGTACAGCTGTCCCTTTCCCTTCTGATATTTTA